ATTGTAGGTAACATACCTGCTGGAAATTATTTTCTTTACCAAAATTGAATGTCCCGTTTATCATCCGTAATGCTATTTTCTGGAGGTAAGAAGATTATTGACATTCCTACTCTGACATACTGGTAATCAGAGGTAGTCTGTAAAAATCTGTCTGTTTCTTTTCTAGTTAATCTATTCGTCATTATTTTTGAAAGCCTTTTGTTGACGATCAACATTTCAGAAAGAATCGAACACAGAGTACAGGTGTATTTTCTGTTGCCATGCAAACATAAAATATCCTGTTAATTAAGCTAATGTATTAAGAACACATGGACACACTCAAACAACCGATGTGTTTCTGTGTAAGTAGTGAATTATGTTCTATGTTTCTCTAGGTGGTGCTTTGATCTATTAGACACAACTCAAACTTAATTGTTGACAACAACATAAACCGTCCATTCATTTTACTAAAAGGTATAAATAGGAAGTAATTTTGTGTTTGCAAACTTTGTCATGGAAACGTATGAAGAGAAAGATTTTCATAAATAGTCTCAAGTAAAAAAAAAAAGACATAAATGTGTTTGTAAGTGTATATGGTATTTGTTTATATAATTTAGTTACCACGAACAGGACATATTTTACAGCATTTCGTAAAATATACTTAACACTTTGAGAAGTAGCATATTCGATAACTTTACTAAGCAGTGCTGTTTTTTAACGTTCAAATTTTTTTTGTTTTTATCCTTAATATTCCTTTTCTTATTCCTCAGTTGTCCAGTCGATTTTAAGGACGCTAGCCCGTACAAGTAGTGCCCCCCCCATGGCTCCACGAAAGGACTGTAGGCTTATAACGCTAAAACCGGATTTCGATAGCCCGGATACAGCCGTGGATGCGTTATAAGTGTGACAGTCAACCCCGATATCCGTTTCGGAGTGGTCACTTCAAATTGCGGATGCTACAACTTGTTGCCTTTTTTTTTGTTTTCGATCCAAACCATTGAGCTCTCTGACCCGGCCGTTCAGCCCGTTGTGTACACAAAGCTGTATGAGACGAGACCACTGCAGGGATCGAACTCTGAATTTAAGTGTTATAAGCCCTCAAACTTACCGCTAAGTAATGGTAGCGCCAGCAAGTAGTGACAAATAATTTTAACCTGTATAAGTATCTCTGTGTTTCTTTGTTGCTAAACGCAAAAGCTACAGAAATGAGACCTTTAGATGCCCAGTCCGATACGCTAACCACTAGGCTGCACCTTAGCTCTTGAAATATGGAACTCTTCACTTCAAGTGTTGCTAGCAAGCGTGAAGAAATTGTGGCAATCTCTTTAAATTTATCAGGTTGGATGGGGAAAATATTATTGAGGAATATAGCAAATATTATGATTATAAATCAGACTTAGCATAAACTGTTGCTTTTCAGACAAAAGTTTATTTGGAGAAAATCAAATTTGTGACTTCCCTTTTGACGCTAGAGGTCTCGTTAGATCTGAATTTCCTTCTTAAAAATGAAATGATGGAGGCTTTCAAGAATGATAGCTTCGCTCTTTGTGAAGTATTTTTGATCATCTTATGTCATGTTTTTTCCTTTCTAGGTAATAAGCCTCGGAGCAGCAACTGAAACCTCAAAGTGTCGGTGTCACGTGGTCGACGTGGCAGCAGCTATTGGTGAAAAAGAGGAGATCAGTCATCGGTTGTTGAGAGCCCTCTTCGAGAAAACACTAAGGAAAAATGGAATGTTGATTTTATCATTATAGAAGCTGGATTAATTCAACAACCCCGCAATGAATTCTGGGGGACAAAATCGGGATCCTGGAGCATCAATGATAGGAATGATGAATCCTCACACTCCCCATGGAGGAGGAGGGGTGCCTATGGTCAGGATGCAGTCACACCCTCTTCCTCAACATCATGGGGCTCTTCACCACATCGTCAGTTACCAACATCAGGTACAACAGGAGGCCGCAGCTGTGCTGGATGTGGGGGTAAAATTTTGGACCGGTTTCTTTTACATGCCTTGGACAGATATTGGCATAATGGGTGTTTGAAGTGCTCTTGTTGCCAGGCAACGCTAGGCGATATCGGTAGCTCCTGTTTCACCAAAGCTGGAATGATTCTCTGTAAAAATGACTACATCAGGTAAGCCACAATAATAAAATGACTTTGACTTTGGATAGATTAAAACATCTTTATTTGTAGGAACGATATCACTGATGGAAAGCAGTGAAACACATTAAAAAATGCTTAATCTAAAGAAAGTATAGGACAGGTTAAATGCAATGTTACAGATGTGGTATGTGGAAAAATACTAAACTTTCTTCCTCCTTCCCTTAATTAGAAATGTAAGGTGTTTAGTTTACCAAAATATTCAAAATGTCTCTGTTATACGTGCTTTTACAGCCCTTACAGATCACCACGTATAGGAAATCCATTTTGTTCAGTTCTGACCCCATTTCATGTGCCGCTTGCAAACGGTAAAGCTGGGTGTAACACTTTAGTATTTTTAGACGTTTCTTGTGGATGATGTTGGTGGAGACAAAAACTTTAAAGCTTAAATTTTGTGCATTCTGAGAGATTTATAAACGTCACAAAACATTTGCTTGGATTCTCTATCTTCGCCTTTAAATTCAAAACCTTTTTTTCTTTTCAGCCAGACTTTATAGTGGGCAAAGCACAGATAGTTCATTTGTAGCTTTGTGATTAACTATAAACAAAGAAATAAAAACGAACTCGGCGAAATCAATTTTCCAGTTCTAACTCTATGACACGCATTTGGACCATTCCTCCTGATATTTGCGGTTAGTGCCTGAAAGGTAAATAACTGAGCTTAACTATAAACAAAGAAATAAAAACGAACTCTATGAAATCAAATTTTCAATTTTAACTCTATGACACGCATCCTGGCCATTCCTCCTATTATTTGCGGTTAGTGCCCGAAAGGTAAATAACTGAGCCTTCGGAGAACGTTACACAGTTATGAACAATCTTAAACATTACTTTACGTCGATCATTTTTTAATTAATGAATTGATAAGAGGTAAAAATATATTAAGATCTAGCTTATTTTTTAGATATACTACTGTTAATTTCTGAGCAAAAACGATTTTTATAATATAAGGACAAATCCAGTATGATTGAAGAACGAGTAAGTGAGCTATCTCCATTTATAATTACAGACTTTATAGACCTACGTGGGTGAGTCCCTGTCGTAATAGAAGAACAAGAATGTAATGTTAGTCTACATCAACAGGAACAGTGATTTGTGCATATTAGTGGTCTGTGTATGACAGTCTTTATGTTTCCCTTCCTATTAATGAACTTCGTTGATCTATGTGTTTTAGTCCTCGTCATAAATGAACGTGAACGCTATGCCATAGCGTCGTCCATTATGAACGTGAACGCTATACCGTAGCGTCGTCCATTATGAACGTGAACGCTATGCCATAGCGTCGTCCATTATGAACGTGAAAGCTATGCCGCAGTGTCTTTCATTATAAAAGTGAACGCTATGCCACAGCGTCTTCCATTATGAACAGTTCAACTAAATTCAACGATCACCTACAATTAGGTAAAGTACTACCTGTAATTTTCATGTCCTGTTTTTAGTATAGAAACTAATAAACATTCATATCCACCTCTGTATTATGACTAGGACTAAAACACATAGATCAACGAAGTTCATTAATAATATGTATTATGACGAGGACTAAAACATATAGATCAACGAAGTTCATTAATAATATGTGTTATGACGAGGACTAAAACACATAGATCAACGAAGTTCATTAATAATATGTATTATGACGAGGACTAAAACACATAGATCAACGAAGTTCATTAATAATATGTAAATGGACGACGCTACGGCATAGCGTTCACGTTCATAATGGACGACGCTATGGCATAGCGTTCACTTTTAATTGCTGTTTACTAAGTGAATTATTTTGTCCCCCAGTGGGACAGCGGTAAATCTACGGACTTACAACGCTAAAATCCAGGGTTGGTACAGCAGATAGCTCAATATGGCTTTGCTCTGAAACAAACAAAGAAAGATGAATTATTAGGACATTTACTATCTGTGTATCAGTCTCGACCTATTGGTATAAGAGCCAAGAGTGGCACATTGTTGAACGTTCGCGAAAGACGAGGGTCTATTGGCAAGTAGTATTATAACTGCTCAAAGAAAACTTTGTCTTACAATTTAATTATTTATTATCAATCTATAGAGCGATATGTAAAATGTATTTTACTGACTTGGCATCATGGCCTAGTGGTGTAGGCGTTCGATTCGCAGTCTGAGGGTTGCGGGTTCGAATCTCCGCCCCACGAAACATGCTCGCCCTTATAACGTTACGGTCAATTCCACTATTCGTTGGTAAAAGAGTAGCCCAAGAGTTGGCGGTGGGTGGTGATGACTAGCTGCCTTTCCTCTAGTCTTTCATTGCTAAGTTAGGGACGGCTAGCGCAGATAGTCCTCGTGTAAATTTGCGCGAAATTCAGAACAAACCATATTTTTCCAACACAAGAACTGGAATTTTCATCATGAGCGACACCTTATACTCACGTGGGCTAAACGGCCAGATTAGAGATCGTTAGGATTCGGGTACAGACAAAAAGGTAGTTAATCAACAGCACCTGTCTGGCGCTTTGAACCGAATAACTAGAGTGACTGTCATGTTTATAACGCACCCGATGCTGAAAGTGCAGAATTTGTTCTACAGCGTCACGTCTCGAATGTCGAACTTTTTCATCGGAAGCCTGACACGCTAACCACTATGCCACGCCTGTCTTTCGGTACAAGTAATTATCGAATTGAATGATTTTTATAATTATAGTCATTCTAATATGTCATAAACCTAAATCTATTTATTATTATAAATTTTTAATAACCGAAAAGGATTTTCGACGTGTGCAGTCAATGAGAAGCACTCCTCCCCCCCCCTTTTTTTTTCAATTGAGAAAAGTTAGTTTCTGTTTCATCTGGTAAGAATTTTCCGAATGGCCCCTGTTTATAAACGTATGAGAATTCCCGTCTGTTTCACCATTTTCTTCCCCCTTTTTCCACGCTGAAACGAGAATTAATTGGTACAGGTAATTGGGATGAAATTAAAGCGAGTGCTTCGAAAAATCAATACAAATATGTTGCAGCTATATTAATAATTTGTAAGCCTCGTAAGGCTTGAATAAAAGGTTCATGAATAATGGATCAAGCAAACATATATGTATGTATACTTAGATATATTGGTTTGTGGCTCACTTAATTCCAGAGACTAGGAAGTTCCAACTTTAATCACCGCGCTTATACATAAATATATCATATATATATTTGTTGGAACAAGCTAATTACGTAGTGGGTTATATTTATCTGTACTATAACATGGAAATATAGTTCAATTTTAATAACCTTCTGTTTTATTATTCAGGCAATTACCTTAGTCGTACTCGATACGCCTGTTCTCATAACAAGCGTTTTATTCTCTGTGTTTTTGTTTTTTAATTACAAAAATTACGATGTTTACTTACAGCGTGAAAAGGGTAGAAGAGAGAGAGTATGTCCACTGAAACACTATCAGTTAGGGCTAATAGAATGTTAGTCACTCACACACACACAAAAGAGATATTGAAGGTAAAGTGATTTTCCTTGTCGGCTAAATTATTAGACAAAGTTTATATTAATAAAACTGAAGTGTGTTTAAACGTAAAAATAAAATACTAATTAAAAAAATTACTCATAAAAAAGCATTAGACTGTAGTTGCACTAGCTTGCCGTTAGAGGGAGCTATGTGCCACAAACGTTAATATATATATATATATTTATATAAGGGATAAGTGTAAGTACTGGTACTACCTGCATCAAACCATTGTGTAATTAATCAATGGTTATAAATGAAGACAAATATTCTGTCGTGTTTGATTTGCATGTCTGCCTAAGACGTTTGAATTGTATTTCTGATTTTTCTTGGAGCTTTGGTAGGTAAGGAAAACAGAAATTTAGATAAACAACTCTGTGGCTCACGATCTAAACAGATACGGCGTTAGTCCACGGAAATGAAAGAAATAAACATTAGCGTTTTCTGGAAATTCCATTATGTTCAATAAACGTAGTTAAAAACATTTTGGGAGTGCATTATATTGATTGGAAAGCCAAGAACTGTGTACGTTGTCTGATGTCTGGTGATTGTAATTGTTAAAGTGCTCTCATATCCTACACGTGTACACACACACACACACGCAGAGAGAACTGACAGTGTGAAATTGTATTCACACAAGTACCCCTCCCCCCTCCTCTCCTTTATATAAAGATTAATGCTCAATCGGTCATGTTTTGATGTTTATTTAGCAACAACAAACAAAGTGTTTTGGAATCTAAACTAAACTTCTAACACATGTTTTGTGTTGTGAAGCCTGAAATATTTATCATCTAATTTCGGGTACCCATAATTCCATTAAACAAACACACTAATGAGAAAACTTGGTGATATTGTAGTCTGTGAAGTGTTTGGGAGTGAGATTTATTTTATATTTTATCATACTCGTTTTATTATAGTAAGTCTGGCTTTATCTTGAACTTTATTACATTAGTTTTAGTGTGGTATAATTGGCATATTTCTTGATCTTTATCGTGTTAGTTTTAGTGTGGTATAATTGACATATTTCTTGATCTTTATCGTGTTAGTTTTATGTGGTATAATTAAGATATGTCATCAACTCTACCATATTAGTTTTAGTGTGGTATAATTAAGATATGTCATTAACTCTACCATATTAGTTTTATCTGGTATAATTAAGATATGTTTTAGTGTGGTATAATTAAGATATGTCTTGAACACTACCATATTAGTTTCATGTGGTATAATTAAGATATGTCATCAACTCTACCATATTAGTTTTAGTGTGGTATAATTAAGATATGTCTTGAACACTACCATATTAGTTTTATGTGGTATAATTAAGATATATCATCAACTCTACCATATTAGTTTTAGTGTGGTATAGTTAAGATATGTCATCAACTCTACCATATTAGTTTTAGTGTGGTATAATTAAGATATGTCATCAACTCTACCATATTAGTTTTAGTGTGGTCACGATCGGCTTGTGATACTTTGAATTCATTATTTTGGTTTGGAAGGCAGCTAG